CAAACATGCATTGTGTATTTCATTACAAAATATATAAATTATATTTTATGAACAAGTAATTTTCATTAATAAATTTGAGTAAAAGGTGGTTAATTTGCCTAAATTATAAAAACACATTCCACTAATAATATTAAATTCATCATCTCTCCAAAAATAAAAAATAAACTAGTAATCTTTACATGATTTATTTAAGTGTTTTTTGCTAAAAATAATAAATATGAGTAAATGGTGGTGGATTTGCTTAAGTTATAAAATCACATTCCAATAATAATATAAAATTCACTCAAAAAAATTTGTAATTTTCACATGATTCATTCAAGTTAAAAAAAGAATCAAGTTTTCAAACTATACTTAAAAATACGTGCAATAGTGTTACCACTAATTTTTAGGTAAATAGCACATACGATTTTTTACAAAATACCTTTTAATGGAAAATCTACAGAACTAATAAGAATAACTGATCAAATAAAATAAATAAAAAGATGATCTCTTATTGTTTTGATAATGCATACTTCCTTAAAGAGACAAACTGCTATTTAAAAAGTTTAACGACAGATATAAAGAACAAAGACATTTAACTCATTTAACTAAGTAAAACTTAGCTTAAAATAAACCTTATCATCATTCAAAATCTACTGTGTACACAGAACAAACTTTTTTTTTGCATTGGCAGTTTAAAAAACTAACACTAAACAATAGAAAAATAGGCAAAAATAGATCAATAATTATCATATAATCTATAATCTTACCAATTAAATCAGCTCAAGAGACGTGGTTTCAGTGGTAAAGACAAAGCCAACTGACTAAACTCATCATATATCCGTTCCAGTTTATTGTAAACTCATTTACAGAACGAGGTAACCCAGTATCACCTTCTCACATGCTCTTAAAATTAAATATGCATAGTGACAAACTACCTGCAATTCAAACTCTCAGCAGGTCACCGGGATGCCCTTGGACACATACACACACACACAGTGAAACACAGTTGCTAGAGAACAAACACACACACATACACTCGCATACAAAAACACACACAGTTAAACACATACAGTATATTCCATTAGTTTTACATTAAGCTCTGCAGATGCTTTGAGGCTGAATCAGAGATGTGCTCTACTCTTTCAGTGACCCTCATGAAATCACAATGGCGTCCTGATCCTCAGGTGAGAGAGGGCTTGATCACCTCTTTTCTTCAGCACTAGAATGACATGACACTGGATAGGGTGACTGAAGTCAAGTTGTGGTTACATTACCATGGAAAGACCATTCACACCTGCTACTAACTAGGCTATGCTTAAAGTACAGTGGTCTATTTAGTGAAACATATATAAGAATAACTGATAACATAAAGGTAGAAATGAATATCTGGTTTGGTTTTTAGGTTGTGTGTCAGGTATTAATCCACAAAATCATTGTAATCTGACATTCATTTTTATTTTTTAAATAATTTTGTTTATTTTACTTGTTTTATGGCGACACGGTGGGTTAGTGGTTAGCGATGTCGCCTCACAGCAAGAAAGTTGCTGGTTCGAGTCCTGGTTGGGCCAGTTGGCATTTCTGTGTGGAGTTTGCATGTTCTCCCCATGTTGGTGTGGGTTTCCTCTGGGTGCTCCAGTTTCTTCCACAAGCATGCAGCTAAATTGGGTAAGCTAAGTAGGGCGTAGGGAGCGTGAATGCGAAAGTGTATGGGTGTTTCCCAGTGTTGGGATGCAGCTGGAAGGGCATCCGCTGCGTAAAACATATGCTGGATAAGTTGGCGGTTCATTCCTTTGTGGTGACCCCATGCAGATAAATAAAAGGACTAAGCCGAAGGAAAATGAATGAATGAATATTTGTTTTGTTTGACTCTTTGGTCGAGCACCCATTTGTGATTGAAGTAAAAGTGAAAAATTGTAATAATTAGATCGAAACCTTCATAATGGAGATAATTCAGACAAAAATTAAAATGGCCATCATTTACTCTCCCTTCACTTCATAGTTTCTTTTTTCTTCTGCTAAACACAAAATTATTTAGAAAAAAAGGTGGAAACCACAACTGACTTCCATTGTTTTCCCCTTGGAAGTTAGGGTTTACAGGTTGTCAGCTTTCTTCTAAATTTCATTTTTGCACAAAATTATGGAACCATTTCAGGCCTCTAGCCAGGGGGGTTCAGGTGGTTCTAAAGACTCACCCCTCACTGACAAAGTTTCGGAATTTGTGCCAAACATGAGCTCATTTGTCCTATTTTGACTGCTGTGCCGTCATAGTAAGTGAAAATAACTCATCAAAATGGCTTGAAGAGGGAGCGGAATCCTTTGTTGGCTGTTGTGACTTCAGCTAATCAGTTTTGACCAAGAAAGTGTGGGTGTTTCCCAGTGTTGGGTTGCCGCTGGAAGGGCAACCGCTGTGTAAAACTTATGCTGGATAAGTTGGCGGGTCACTTCGTTGTGAAGAACCCTGATTAATAAAGGGACTTAGAAGAAAAGAAAATGAATGAATGAATGAATGAATGAACGAATGAATGAATGAATGAATGAATGAATGAATGAATGAATGAATGAATGAATGAATGAATGAATGAACGAACGAACAAATGAACGAATAAATGAATCCAACATCCAGCTGCTAGAAAACATACAATCTGATGTAAGTGCAGTAATCTTTTGCCACTGTATTGTTTTTAAATATTTTACAAGTAATTTTTATTCTAAGTCCTGGACCTCATTCAAACAAAAAATGACCAATAAAAATGTGTGAAGCACCAAAAGTGGACCATATCAGTGATAATTTGAGTACCAATTTGGCAGTTGTTATTGTTATCCATGGATTTTCAAATATACTTTAATTTACAAGAGAGGCTAAAGCTCTATATTATTTTATTATTATTATTATTATTTTATTCAAATGGTCTGATTGTGAAAAGTTGGATTTGCAGGCCAGTTTGTTATTATTAATTGCCTTTATTTATGACAATAAGCTAAATTTGAATTTTTTTCATATTTTTTCATTCTAAATCTTTAAAACTTAAATATTTTTGGTATACCGAAAAAATATGAGGCGTATATTTGCAAAAAGGTCCTTTTTTTTGGGAAAAAAGAATCGCCCCTTTCCAGGCAGGTTATGGGCCTGACTTGAGAGTGAGTAAAAATGGGGTACATGCACACAAACTTTTTTTCAGTCAGCCAGTACTAGGGCTTCCAGTTAATTGTAATCCCATTACCACATTTACAGTAAGATCTGATTTCTTTGAAAAACAGCGAGACCAAGATGCACTGCATTAAATAATATTTTTCCATGTCTCCAAAATATGGAAATTAATTATGCCCCAGTATTTTTAATGGAGTTTTGCTCTAGCCTGTGGCTAATGGCGGCACTTACATTTAAACTGTCTTTCGTCTCCTTTTACGCTTTAACAAACAAATGGATGCTTAAGTCTAACTGAATGTGTTCCAATGACATTACGACATCGATACTGTAAAATGAAACTTATGAAATTGAAAATAGTCACATACACCTTTTACTGAAAGTTCATCATTGGCTGAAAAACACTGGCAGCGCATATAGCCCATTTCTTTTTTGGGTGAACTATCCCTCAGAGACAGTGCAGGGAAAATACAATGACAGTTTTCTAACTAGGACTGGAAATTAAAAGAGTTTTGACCTTAGAGGTAGAATCGAATGCAGATTGTGTTTCAAATTAAATGTAATTAATGACACAATGGCCTGTAATTATGTCAAGAAACCCTCAGACATTCTGAGAAACTGCAGTCACGCAAGAGACGTCTCTGTGTTCAAGAAATCTCTCTCTATGTAATTTAGTCTGCTTTGAAATCAATGCGGTGAAATAATATCTAATACAATATAATGTAATTATGAAACGACTGATCATTTCACCGTTTTATCCAGATATTATGTTCAAATAATCTGACTGGTCAAACAGGTTGTAGTCAATTGAGTGTGACCTGAAACATAATAAATGAGATAACAGCGCCACCCCCTGGTAAATCTAACCTTGTTCTGAAAAAACAACAACAACTGCGTTTAAAAACCAAGATTTATGCGCCAGTGTTCCCCTTGTGATTTTTCTTTACTTATTTATTATTTTAACATCTGTAACATCTTATTTAAACATCTGTAACATCATCATGTAGGCTATGTATATGTGTGTGTGCATGTAGGCTATCTACTGATCATGTGTGCTTCAAGTTCTCAAATAGCCTAATTCTACCATGGCATATTACATTAGTCTCCCTGGGGCTAATAATAATAATAATAATAATAATAATAATAATAGTAACAATAATGATAATGTTCAAGTTTTTGTTATTTGCTAAATCATTAATTTTCCTTTCGGCTTAGTCCCTCTATTATTCAGGAGTCACCACAGCGGAAGGAACCGCCAACCTATCCAGCAGCAGGATGCCCTTAAAATAATTGTAATATAATAAGCCCTTGCATGTTTGTACCGCACCTCTGTCATATTTTCGGCGCAAACCATAAGGCTTAGCCTTTAAGTTGCATATCGAGCAAGTGCACTAAAACCATGCTATAATAATAAAATATCTAGAATTTTTCGTTTATTCATAAACGCATAACCGTATTTCCTAAAGCATACATCTATTTCAACATCTTTATTTTAAGATCCAGTCAGTGCAACATAGCCTAATTATTGGACTGAGAATGGTGTATAGACTGCATCCTCAAACAAATAATCATGTGGCACTGCTATCTTAAAATACATTTTCTAGTTTATATATATAAACTAGAAAATGACTAAAATTGTAAAAGGCAATATTTGTGTTTATAGTCACTTGCATGCATAGCAAATTGATGTGAAACAGAAGTAAAAAGACAGTGGCTAGGCTAATTCGAGTTATTTCAAACACTAGACGTTTTCATTTTATTCTAGAAAGCAATAACATAAAAGTAACAATAAAATAATTTCGCTAATGGAAATTACACGACAGTCCATCCTCCCTCCCTCTCTTTTCTCTCTCTCCCCTCCCTCCTTCCTCGGCTTTAACAGCATGTCAGAGCCTGTGGGATGGAGTTACAGCGCATTGCTTTCCTTCTGGATGCTGCTCTGAGCACCTTTAATGAAGACCGCCGCATCTGTCCAAACTCCACAAGAGCCCCGAGTGTCCAACAGACACCCCAAGCGCAAAACAACTCTGCTAAAAGTAAACTTCACCTCCAGGACACCCCAAAACAGACCTCCACACAGCCAAACTATGAAGCTCCAGTGCGTTTCTCTCCTCATCTGCGCTCTGCTCATTGGCGAGTGCTGCGGGTCTCGCGTGGACCGCTGGGTCAGAACTGGACTTCAGTACCTGAAGCTCAACTTGTGCCGGAGGGTCTCTTTGCCGGAGAGCGAGTGTAAGAAGATGTCCCACCTGCACTTAAGCGGGGTGGTCGTGTACGTGTCCGAGTCCGGTTCAGGGAAGGTGCTGGCGATCCTGCCGGATTCTTACTCGAGCGGCGCGCTGCAGTCCAAACACAGTGGGTTCTCGGTAGATCCGAGCGCGGATGAGGAGAGCCGGACCAACGAGGAGCTGTACCCCGGAGCCAGCGCGCATGACGCCGTGCTGCTGCTCGACCCCAGTCCCGGAGAGAGTTTCGGACACCCGGTGGTTCTGTTCTACGTGGACTTCAACGTAACCAAGAAGAAATGCGCTCACATGGACGGCATTTATCTGGGTGAGTGGACCTTTTCTGTCAGATTTGAAATAAAAAATATGCTACTAAAACAAACAAACAAACAAACAAACAAACAAACAAACAAACAAACAAACTAACTAACTAACTAACTAACTAACTAACTAACTAACTAACTAACTAACTAACAAAAAACAAACAAACCCCGGTGAGATTGCTGCAACACTTTAGGTCACAATTCACGGTATTAGCAAACCATTAACTAACACAGCTAGCTTAATAAACTGCCAATTAGCTGTTTAATAATAGTTAGTAAGGTACAAATTCGGTTGAAGTTTTAGGTAGGATTAAGTATGCAGCATAAAATCATTTTATATAACTACTAATGAACAGTTATTATCTAAATAACAGACAAGTATTAATCTATAGTACTTAATAGGATGAATTGTGTCCTAAAGTGTTACCGAGATTGCTGTTTCCTCAATTTAAAGGAGAGTTCAAAAGGATGAGTTTAGTTAGTTTTAGCCACCAGGTTTATACTGTAAATCTATAATAAATTAATTTGTCAAGTGGGAAAAAAGTTTTAAAGCAGCTTTAATGATGGAGAAAAATGTTTGTTGAGAAAAAAGGTAATAGCCTACGTTAAAGTAAAGTAATATGATGTTAAATTTAAGCTAAATATTAATAGGTAAATATTAAATAAAGTTATTAATATTGAGCCAGCTGTCAGTGATAATAGATTATCAATAAATCAATGCGTACTTTTGATTTATATGAGTGACATGAAGCTTTGTATATACTATATTGTTTATTAAATTATGCACTCTTAACTGAAGGGCCATGGACTGGCCATCTGACATGATTTACTGTATGTGAGGCATAATACAAAACAGACTCATGTTTCAATAAGCTTTGACCCTCGCCTGATGTTTTGACATGAATTCAAGCCTGTCTCACTGTAAAATCCTCTGTTTAAAACCCCTTCAAACCAAAGTATTCTTGACAGCTTCCTATTTTATTGTAATAGTTGTGTTTTGTCTTGGTATAAATGTGCAAGGTAAGGTGTGTTATGCATAAAACCTTCAATCAAGTTACTTTAATTATGCTATTATAACGAATGACTACAGCCTACTAATTACAGTAATGATGTGCATTTACAGCAGCTAATAACAGCACAAAATAATTACATATAAGTAGAAGATGAACCCGAACATGAATAGGGCATAATATCTATTTATACCGCATATACTCAAATACAGTGTAAAACTCGGGATGGGCAGTGATTAATAGTAATAGAAAAGCTTAATTAGATAAAAGTGATTTCAGAAGCATGGAGACATGCAAAACTTGTTTAAATGAATATAGATCTTCCTAAAAATGTCAATAGTTCATATAAAAAGTCAGTTTAGATGTGAAGTCAACACTTCAAAACAGACTAAGGTCATCTGGCCTGTGACATGAAGCTGTGCGAGTTAGTCTGCAGTACTTCAGGCCAAAACACCCTGCAGGGAAAGTGGAGGGCAGACTCACGACTGAGACAGAGTCATGCATTCTCAATAAGAGTGCTCAATAATTCATCCCTGACTGTGAGAGTTCAGTCCTTATCACTGGGTTCAGTGCCCAGCTGTGCCCCCAGTTCACTATAAGTCAAGCCCCCTTCCCTGAACTGATTTGCACTGCTGCAAGAGATGTGTGAAAAATTGATGATGAAAGTTTATTCGACTGCATTTCTTTAGGTTAAAAGCTTTATCAGTGACTACTTTTAAGCATTAGATTGATAAATAAATAAATAAATAAATAAATAAATAAATAAATATAAATAAATAAATAAATAAATAAATTGCTGGACTGTTTCAATCTAAATTTGGAGATTTTGAAAAAATGTACAGACTTATCCATTGAATCAAAAATGTTATTTGATAAATATCAAATTAAAATTAGATTTAAAAAAATTTTTTTTTTTACATATTCTATCCAAAATGGGATTTAAATTATCCAGCATTGTGTCGATGCAAATTTGGGTAAAATATTTGACAAATTGACAAAATCAATTTTAAAGATTTATTTAAAAATAATAAAAAAGTTTACTTAAAATTTATAAAAACTAAAAATATTTTAATAAAAAAATTATGAGTTTGTTTTTATTTTACCAATTAAAAAAAAAATTATATATATATATATGGTTTGCACGTTATTACTCGATTCAAAAGTTTGAAGTCAGTTAAAATTGAATAAACTAAATATAAAATTAAATATAATAAAGTTTAAAATTATTTTAAAAGAAAATAATTTATTTATTTGATCAGAAATATATAAAAATTTAAGATTTCTATGCTATAAAATATATGTAAATTATGTTTGAATTGCATTATGTGCTTTGAATTGCATTATGAGACCTTGATCTTTCCTAAAAAAATTTGATGTTGATTTTTATTGACATTTTTAATAGTTTAAATTGATATTTTGTTTGTTGGTGTTGCAAATTAAGGTTTGAAAATCTGTCAATAAACTGCCAGAATGTTTTCAGTTATTTTAGGGACTTTTTTATACATATATTACTTTTTATTCAATATATTGTTCCAAAAATGTCAATAAAAGTCCCCTTCTTAAATGGCAGAGTGAAAATTTCAACATCGAAAGTCGACGGAGCAGAAATAAAAGGCCCATAACAAGATTCATTAAAAAAATGGATCAAGACATACATTCATTCATTCATTCCGCCACAGCGAAATAAACCGCTAACTCATCCAGCATATGTTTTACACAGAGGATACCCTTCCAGCTGCAACCCAGCACTGGCAAACACCCGTACACTTTCATTCACACACATACACTATGGACAAATTCGCTCATTCATTTTCTTTTCGATTTAGTCCCTTAAATAATCTGGGATCGCCACAGTGGAATGATCCGCCAACTTATCCAGCATATGTTTTATTGCAGCGGATGCCCTTCCAGCTGCAACCCATCACTGGGAAACATCCATACACACTCATTCACACACATACACTACGAACAATTTAGCTAACCCAATTCATCTGTAGCACATGTCTTTGGACTGTGGGGGAAACTGGAGCACCCAGAGAAAACCCACACGAACACGGGGATAACATGCAAACTCCACACAGAATTGCCAACTGACCCAATTAAGACATACAGGAGATTTTAATTAACAGTTTTTTTTTACAGTGTATTTCAATATATGTTCAAATAAATTAATGCCATCACAGCTGAATTGTCAGCATCATTACACCAGTATCATAAGATCTTTCAGGAATCATTCTAATATGCTGATTCGATACTCAAGAAACATTTCTCATCATCACCAATTTCGAAAATGTTGCGATGCTTAAATGTTCAGAGAATTCTCTTATAAATTAGTCTCAGCTTTTAGACTCATCTGTATTATGTAAATATATTTAAATTTGGTTTTCAAGACTACACAAGCATGTCCAGCCTCAAGTCTTCCTCATACTGAACTGTCTCGAGAAATATATTTAGCAAATGGAGACCAAATAAAGCTTGGGAAGGGAAATAATGAGCAGACCTATTAAAAAATGATAAACAAAAAACTCCGGTTTACACAAGAGCTCAAGGCATGTGCGACTCGGTTCAAATCTGGAAGCATTTTCAACTCTCCCCGTGTCCAAACTTGACCATCTCATCTGAAGATGTGGTGGGAATCAGAGGCTGGAATGAAAACTGCGTTTAGTTGTTGCCACATTTAAAATCAGCCCAAGTCTCTCTGCGTTTTTGTAAAGGGTCTCCGCATATGAGTGAGCATGAGAGAGACTCAATAGATATAAACTGTATAGATATATACAGTTGAGGTCAGAGTTAATAGCCCCCCCAGTTTATTTTCTTTACACATTTCAGCGCATTTCTAAACACAATATTTTGAATAACTCATTTCTAATAACTGATTTATTTACATAAATTTACATAATGGTTTTTCAAAAAATTTAAAACTGCTTTTACTCTAGCCAAACAAATACAACTTTAAATAACAAATAAAACAAATAAAAATATTATCAGAAATTTTGTGAAAAATTCCTGAATCTGTTACATAATTGTTACATAATTTTGGAAATAAAATCTTTAAAAAAAATTCTTAAAAAAAAAAAATTTAAAGGGGGCTAATAATTCTGACTTCAACTGTATATACCAGTGAATTAAGAGTTTAATATAGTTTTTGGTTCACTTTTTTCATTTATCTGTTATTATGAATTGTATTATGTAATCTTTGCTCCAACATTCCTTTTTAAATGTTGAAAAAGGAGACTTTTATTTACATTTTTAATAGTTTGAAGTGATATTTGTTCCCGGTATTAGTGTTGTAAATTACTGCACAAAAATGTGTACTGTGCTGTTTCTTTATTTTATGTTTTATGGAATATATATTATGTCTTATACAATATATCGCTTTAAACTAGTAAACAACAATATAACAATTAAACCCACCTTACCTACTAGATGAAATAACATTGTGTGTTAAGGAAGTGTGCCTCACACAGATGAGTGGGGTTGACAAACCACCTGTTGAAATTCTTCTCTCTTTCTCTCTCTAAAAAAACACCCCACCCCCTTAAGGTTATTGCAGACTGAATCCGAAAATTTCAACCGCAATTTCTTCACGTTAAAAAATAAATTTACCTCAGATTGTCAATCGCACAAACTTTTTCATATTTTGTGGTTCATGATTTTTTATTTATTTATGCTTTTGAATTGCATTATGGGACCTTAATCCTTTCTCCAACTTTTTTTTATGTTGAATGTTTAAAAAAAAAAATCTTTTATTTACATTTTTGATCGTTTGAAGTGATATATATTTCCTGTATTGTTGTTGTAAATGAAGATACGTGTTCGGTACTTTTTCCTTTACTTTATAGACTACTACAATATATTGCTTTAACCTACTAAAATGTCAATAAAAGTCACTTTATTAAACTGCAGAGTTGAACTTTCAAACATTGGGCGTTTGTGAAATGTGCCTCACACAGGTAAGTGGGGTTGACAAACCACCTGTATAAATTTTTCGCTCT